TCATGTAGCTTGCTGAAACATAAAGAAAATAAGAATATCTATCCCCACCTCAAGCAGCAGAAGTGAAAACTCACTACACGCTTCTGCTTTCTGTTGTAGAAGAAGAAAACAAATGACCATCTGGATGGAAAAACACAAGCAACAAAGTCAAAATACCAGCCATATATGACAAACAAAATAAAGTATGAGATGATAGAAGGATACTCACATTGCTCCTTTCTCTAGAAACGGGTCAGCATCACAGTCAGGATTATAACTGTAAATCTCACATTCTGATAGTTTTACGACCTGTAGCATTAGGTGTGTTAAATTATCTTGAAGCTCTCTGTAACTCACATTCCTTTGAAGTGAACTTACCTCATCTAAAGCCCTGTACAGTGATTCAAGCAGTGAACTATCCTCATTTACCTCAGTCCATTCCTACATAATTGTTTAAAGCAGAAAACCACAACATCATGTTCAGGGTCATAGGGTTAATACTTAACACACCAGGGTCAAAATAACTGCATTATTACAGGCTGCATGAACTCACAAATAGATGCATAAATGAAGAATCCAAAACAATTAATCTCTCCAATCAGAACACTGTAACTTAGACATTAACACCAGTTTTGTGGGTTTTACAAAGAGTAGGGGCGCATGACCAGCATGAGGAATATAGCGATAGACCCAAAAATGATTGCAACTCTAGTACGCAAAGGAGTACCCCCTCTTTTCCTCACAGGCATGAGCTACCTGATGGTTCAAATTTGACAGCTAAGTGGCATATCCTCGGATGAGCTTAATATGCAAAACAAAGTTCACGGCAATACCTTTGATGCTTCAAACATGTAGGTGTCAAAAATCTGCTTAAAAGTGTCCCAGCTTTCCTCTGTGAAGAACTGGTGTGCTCTGACTGCACTGGTGACCAGAAAACATGAAAGTTAATACCATAACATGAGGAAATAATATAAAAACCCATATTGAGATATGAATAGAATCCCTGCATGAGTTTCCAAACATACACCAAAAACCGTGTGAATGGACAATATCATATTTGGGAAATGGAGAGACTTGAACTCTCAGCTCCTCCTGGAGCGACAGTTTTTAGAACTGTCTGTCAAACCTTTTGACAACACTCCCATTGCAGCTGAAAAGGATTATATAGTGGGATACCATGTCGCCCAGAAAGCTGACGAAGGCATTACCCATAATCCCTCTTTGAAGCACTCTTCAAATAAAATTTTTGATGCAACAAAACATACAGAGATACCTGAAATCATAATCCGGATACATGTGATAAAGGGCAAGAACTAGGTAGATCAATGTCTTCCGGCTGGAATAAGCACAAGAAAATACCTATCATGACCCATCATAAAGTATATGACACAACTGAAATTATCTAAAGCTAGCTGGGTAACAAGCAGCACCTTGATCTGCTTAACAGAAATTCAGCTGGAGAAGAGGAGTCAGTGTCCAAAGATTTCCCAAGATAATCAAGGATCTGATTTAAAAAAGATTTAAAAAATTGAAAAAAAAAAGAAAGAGATAATTACAATTCATACAGAAAAAGAATTCTAGGGGTATCCAAATAACACAACATGATACATCTATTCGACACTTATGGCAGTATCAAAATTTAGCGAGAAGAGCAAAGACAGAAAGAAAAAGAGACATGAGACAAAAAGGGTTTTCATGCATTATTACCACTAGCAAGGCATAAGGTGAGACCAATCTAGGACTCTGTTCTATACTTGTACTGCTTAATTTACCTCATTTTCCAAACTTAGAGACAACCTTTTGTCTGTTCCTGTATGTTTACCTGGAAAAAAACAGGAAAAATAAGTTTCTCTTCAATAAAAGTGAGGAGAAAAAATATTTTTGATTTGTGCTTACAAGAGTAAGCTTCAAGGCATCCTTTGATGGTGCGTTCTCCGAGATTTAAATGATTCAAAAAATCATTTATTCTGTAAAATAAGATAAATTATAGTACCCAATCCACCAGAGAATGAGTAATGACTTACAAAATCAAATAATATAAGCAAATTAAACAATCTTAAGGAATCTCATTTCAGCCTAAGTTATCGGAAAATTTACCGATCCAGATGGGTGTATTCAAGGAACTTCATAATGACCGTTCAAACATACACAGTGCAGATATAACCGGCAGGTATACAAAAGAAACCTCCAAAATCACCTGTTCCAAGAATAAAATAACAACTTTCAAGTAACAATCACCTATATGGTCAAAAATTGAAAGTTAAAGCAAATCCAGACCTAGATAAGTGAAGCTCCAAAGCTTGTTACACGGTCAAAGAGTTATGACCATCACAAAATTTACAAGCCAAAAAACTCATACAACTACCAATAACACTCAAAACATCTTAGATTCTAATTAAAACCTACGATATAACCAAAAATTGAACTTTTTGTTTCCCTCTTGGGCTCAAAAATCAGATATACAAAAGATCAGCTTCTAGGCAAATTATACAGCAAAACCACATAACATAATTACTATACATAATTATTTAAACTATGAGGAATTGGGGTTCAACATTTTAATTTAAAAATAACTGAGCTTCATATCTCTCTGTGTACCAAAGGAGATTTGTAAAAAAATCAATCATTTGCAAGGGAATCACACCAGCCAAGATCTAAACTTTACGGGCATAGATTCAAACTTTCACTTACTAGCAATCCACCGTGTTACCAAACAGAAATTGCATGCCGTTAAGTGTCTTACTCATTTTCCTCCGGCTTAATGATAATTAAACATGAACGAAAAACAAAATGTAGAGAAGAATTTAATGTGATAACAACAACAAATAGAACCACGGCGGCAAAAACAAGACGATAAAGAAAGGTGTTAGATCGAATGACAGATCATCTTACCTGGACGTTTGCAGGAAAACCGCACTGATTTTTCCAGAGCTGAGCTTTTTATTTTATTTTTCTAATTATGAGGGGTCGAGGATGCAGAATTTGAAAATTTGAAGAACCCTAAATTCGAATATTCGAGTTGCTTCTTCGGTTCAATCAGAAAATGCAACCGATTCTGATTGGTTGGTAGGAGAGAACGAGGGTTTGTTATGGGCCTAACTAGCTGGGCCCAAAGCAAATGGAAGCGTACGGGAAAAGCCCGAAATACTGTAAAGTTTTCAAATACAATTATTATTATTTTTTTAAATCCCATCCTAAATAATTAATATGTAATTCGTGCATAAATAATAAATAAAATAATTTCTAATTTCTCAAAAAAAAAAAAAAACCTCAAATTTTTTTTGAAATAAAATGAAAAAATTATTTACCCGTTTAATTAATTATATTATTTAATTTTTTTTAATAATAATATCGTAAAATATTACGTTATTAATCACTGTCTACTTTTTTATAATTATATTGAATGAGATTATAAAATTATTAAATTCAACTATTAACTCATCGAATATTTATATCTAAATCAATCTCGTACTTTAATTTCCGTTTATATCTAATTAAGATTTTATGCACATACATAAAAGTTTTAACTAAGGTTTTGACACAAACTTACAAATCAAGTCACGCATTCATCGAATTTCTTAAAGTTTAAAGTGGTTTCCTAATAGTTTAATGTGTATCTAGATATTCATATATATATATATGTATATCTAACTAATTATGTTAAACATTTGTATTAAGTAAAATTATATTAAAAATTTAATTTTAATATGCAAAAGGGAAACATTAATATATATATGTATAATCATGATTTTTATTACAAATTTTACCGTAATAAAATAGCAAGGTTAATGTGGCGGAGACATGTCCGAGAGACGCCCATTAGGGAAACCAGGGGCGGATTCCTACCAGGGAAAACAGAAAAGGAACGGTGCATAAAAAGAAAACGGAGGGAGTTATAGTGCGCACCTACTCCGCCGGAATTTGACCTCGCCTTATCGTGCGCCAGACCACCTCCGTCGCCGCTTACTCTCTCAGTTGTAGAAACCGGAAAGCAAGAACAGATCCGTTCGAGCTTCCATACTGAAGCCTGAAAAACATTTTTTTACTGTTTATCAACATAACACAGCCAGAATCCAACCAGAACTGCATCAGATCCTAAAGAAACCTGATATTGTTCTCCTCCTTTCTGAAAGTTGGATTCCCATGTCTCTAATATACCTGGTTCTGGTCCTGAATCTGCTGAGCCTCGAAGCCACGTCGTTTTCAGCGGGATCGCGTTCAATCCTTCGTGAGATCGGCGGTGGAAATAGCCCTGGTGAGGTTAAGGACAACGCTGTGGAACTGAACGTCACGAATTTTGATGCGGTCCTCAGAGACACCCCTGCAACTTATGCTGTCGTCGAATTCTTCGCTCACTGGTTGGTTTCTTAAACTCTTTAATCTCAGAACTTTTAAAAGCTTACTTCCAGTTGTTTTCTTGTTAATTTCAATAGCTTTTTATGGTTTCATATTATTGTCATTGTCCCGACGACTGGCATAAAATATAGATATTCGATTAGTTTGCACAGGAAAAGGGTCGTGTTATTATTTGAGTAGTATGATTGGAAAGGTTCCTTTTTTTTATTTTGAATTTCCCTTTATCTAACCCTAAACTGTGACGGTTTGATGATCTGGAATCTTTTTAGTTAGACAGAACGCCTAAACTACGAAAAGATAGTCTTAGCTGATGTAAATAGGTGTCCAGTTTATGGTTCACTGCAATGTTACATGTGGAAATTAATTCATACCATATGAGAACGAAAAGTGAGTTTCTTTGCATGAAACTATGCATATCTGCCGAGGTTGTTAGTGCATGAAATATTGGACAGCTGGGCGGTGTAGACTTACGTATTAGGACAAACATTTGAGATTTCTAGATTTGTAATTCTGTTACAATTTCAATTTCTTGGCTTTATGTAGAAAGTATTAGTCCCATGGTCGATTGGTTGCAAGGGTCCACTAGGATTCCTCTGATCAGCTTATAAATGTTAAGAAATACATGCATTTTTGTTAAGGAAAACAATTTTCGGAAAATGCTAAATGGGAGAAGCCAGTGCAGCATGCTTATTGGGAAGTATAATGGAGAGGGAGGTAAATGTAAGACCTTTATTTACCCAAACGCTTCGGTTATTTTGCATGATTTACGTTACATTATATTCAATTCTAAGTTGAAGGGGCTTGAGTATCGGTCTTTATTGAGGAGATGAGCCCTAAACTTGCTCATTAATGTTAGATGATTATTTATTTATGATTTTGTGGACATTCTTTATTTACCGCCATTAGACATGGCCTACTTACTGCCATGTCTGTAATCCCCTTTGAGGTTCAGTTTCGTGATTGGTAAAATTTTTCTCCTCAAGCTGTTCTCAAGCATGTGGGTGTAAATATTCCATGCACACGCACACACGCATATACGTTGTATATGTGCATATGCTGATGTATTTATGCATTTATTGGTTTTTTTTTTTGCTGATTGCTATGTGTGCCTAAGAAGTCGTAAATGATTCTGCCAATATTGATGTTCTCTTTCCGTGTAACTATTGGCTTTCAGGTGTCCTGCTTGCAGAAATTATAAGGTATTGCATGGTCCATTTTTATTCATTTCGGAAACTCATTTTACTTGGTGATCATTATTGCTTGAATCTGCGTTCTGCAGCCCCATTATGAAAAAGTTGCTAGACTTTTCAATGGACCTAACGCAGTTCATCCTGGTATCATACTGATGACAAGGGTAGACTGTGCACTGAAGGTATCTATGCTATGTCTTCATTTTTTTCTCTGAAATGGACATTTTTTTGCCAAATTCCGGCGATAGAGATTCTTTTCTTTTTTTTGGGGGGGGGGGGGGGGCGGGGAGGGATTTGCAATTTCTTTTGTTTTAACCAGAGTATTCTAACCTTTTCATTCTGTTAATCTTGGTGACTTTGCTCATTTATTGCTCCCTTTATCAACCATTAGATTTCTTGTGTTCTCCAGATTTATTTCACACCCTCTCATTTATTGAAAAATATTACTTGGTAACTGGTCCCTTCTTTTTGTTGACCTTTTTGGCAGCACAGATAAATACCAAACTTTGTGATAAGTTTTCTGTGGGTCACTATCCAATGCTCTTTTGGGGAGCCCCTTCTAAATTCGTGTCTGGAAGTTGGGAACCTAGACAGGAGAAGAGTGAATTGCAAGTGATTAATGATGGACGGACTGCTGAACGCTTGCTTAATTGGATAAATAAGCAAATAGGAAGGTATGGGGTCTCTAATCCACTCTGTGTTGCTTGTTCTGTTGAAGATATTGTCATATTAGTGTATCATCGGCCATTCCACTCTAATCCACTCTGTGTTGCTTGTTCTGTTGATAGTTATAGAGACAAGTTTGACGCCTTAGTTTGTTCTGTCTCTGAAAAGTGTGTGCTTCTTCCATTATACTAGTTCACTATTTAGCCACATACTTTTAAATTAGCCTGGCTAGGACCTTCTTACGGAGCCTATTCCTTATCACAAATTAGTCCAAAAGGCTCAAATTCAGACAAAAGCCTATTTTAAATACTTTATTTATGAAGGTCAACAAAGATACCTTTTGATGAGGGGGTAGAAATTTCCCGTGATCCATTCATGCTTGGTTGTTAGAGGAAACAGATGCTGACAAGCAACACTAAGTTTTAGTGCTGTAGGCACACACTAAATGTTGCTTCTAAACCTGCTCAAACAGAGTTTTTTAGTTAAACATCTGCCACATTTTCCTGAGGTTAGCTTGAAAGCTTGTTAAACTTTTAATTAGTGGCAAAATTCATTTTGATGATCAACTTCATTTTGCTATTTTTTGCTCCTAAATGTATAGACTTATGCAATAATTCAAAAAGAGTAAATACATTTGTTGTCAAGTAAGACTCTTGAAGACAAGCACATACCAATTTTGCATACCAGAAGTTTGATTAGATCCTATTGGAAGGCAAATTCCCTTATGAAAATCCAGAATTAGGAACTACTAATTCAAAGAGCATATTTACATCATCATTTTTCTTCTTTTCTGGGAATGGGGGGCGGGGGTTGATGGTTTTCATTGTGATACATTATAGTACCTCAAACATTCACCAGACCAAGTTTTAAGATGTTTCTTATGCGAGTGCAAGCATTTAGTTTGGTTTCTACAGAATGATGATCTGGATCTAATAATCATAAACAGAGCTTTTTTAAAAAAATCATTAAGGGAACAAGAAGTCATTTATTTCAGTAGTTATGAGGGTGAAGATACTTGCTACTTCAACTCATAGATTTTAGAGGGCATAACGCTGAATCCCTAGAAGTTCTTGCATGATATTCTGAAGAGAGAAATCTGGAAATGCTAGGAAAGGATAAAAAAGCTATAAAAAATTTTCTTCTGCTTGCTTGCTTCACTATGATAACGTAATAGATCCTAGGATATGTAGATGTAAACTTTCATCTATTGTAAATTTCGGTGATGAACTTATATTTCTGTGTCAAAATCTTGGCATTATATGTTCCGTTATTTCCATTGTAATTTGATAATTAGCTACCTATCTTGTTATTAATCCCATTTCTTCTACTTTCTTACAGCTCATATGGCTTGGATGATGAAAAATTTGAAAATGAGCATCTTCCATCCAATATATCTGACCCTGGCCAGGTAATACTGAAAGCATAGCTCCAAGTTTGACAAATACATATATATGCACAGTTATTATTTATTCTAGATATTAAGTTCTTCAGTGCATGTCTTGTAAAAGATTGCCAGAGCTGTATACGATGTTGAGGAGGCAACAGCCACTGCCTTTGACATTATTTTGGAGCACAAGGTAGAAATTCCTTTTGATCTTGAGCTAACTTCTCTTTCTTCATTTTTCTGGTTTTTTTTTTTTTTGTTCACTGGGATTTATAATTCCCATCAAAATGGTGTTTTACAGATGATCAAATCAGAAACTCGGGTTTCCCTTATAAGATTCCTTCAGCTTTTGGTGGCTCATCACCCTTCTAGGAGGTAAAGATATACCTAATTAGTTTGCATACCTGCTTTTTCAGATGTGGTGGCATGTTCAGACTTGGTGCATAAGTGTTTTGCTTTTGAACTGTTTGCATCAGGTGTCGAAAGGGAAGTGCAGAAGTACTAGTGAACTTTGACGACTTGTGCCCATCAGATATGATTCCTCCTGTTAGACAAGAAGCAGTTGCTAATAAATGTGAACTTCAGAATTTTCTTATCTGTGGAAAGGAAGTTCCACGTGGATATTGGGTTGGTACTCGTCAGAAATTACATTCCAGTTTATTTTTATTGCTGTGCTCTGGTGGCAGAATCAATTTTACTCTGTTCTTAGTTTTACTTGTGCATGTGTTGCATATTCTTCTAATTAATTTGCACTGAGATAAATGAGAAGGAAAGGGACGCTGATTACCTTTTCCTTTCTTTTTTTTTTAATATTTATTTATTTGAAAGAAGGGATCTGATTAACTTGATTCTTTTGGATGTTGTGTGGCAGATGTTTTGCCGTGGCAGCCGGAACGAGACTCGAGGCTTTAGGTAATGCTTTCTTTTGTTAATTTTCAATTATGTTACCATATGGACACTCATGCATGCACGTTTATAAAGAATAACTAAATGATCTTTCAGGTCTTGCTTTAGACATCTGCTTTTCCTTTTGATTATTTTCTAAATGATGCGACATACAAATTGGTGTCCAGCATTAAAGGAGTTTTGAATGTTTTGAACACCCTGGATGGTGGAGTAGTCTTGTAAATATTATTATAAGTGTTTCCCTCGAAGGAAATGCTGTTATGAAGAATTAAGAGTTTCCTGCTGCTTCTATTTCTAAAAAGGCTGTCTACATGTGGCCAAGAGAAATGGTCTGGCATATCAACATCTTTATTTTACCGTCAATGGAAAAGAGAAAATGGTGGGGGAGAAAGGCTTAAAATAAAGCATGCATCCGCTTATTGTTATTAGAAAACTTCAAATTTTCTTTCAAGTGCAAGAACGCGTTTTGCTTCTAGGTACTGGTAGTAGTGTTACCTCTTTTGCTTTTAGAGAAAATGCGATACATGACTTTTAGAGAAAATGCGATACATGACTATCATGATTTGAGTTTCAAAAGTCCAAATGATTCTGCACCTCGGTTCAGTTTCCCAATCAATGCAGGCACCAATTGATTTGTCTTGGCTAGTCACGTTGGTGGTTGCAATTCTATTGTGATTTGTTTCTTTTGGACAACAGTTTAGTCACCAGGCAGAAGCAAGACATATAGTTTTAGTTATTTCCATAAAGATACTTAAATCACTGATAAGTACATATTTTTCCCATTAACATGAATCTCTAATGTCACAATGATGATAAATTATTTCTCCTCAGTTCAGCTTTGTTTTATATTTTCCCTTCCTTGTAATGTGATGAGTGATTGTATTCATTACTGCCTAGGTAGCTGTAAATCAAGAACATAGTTATTTCTTTTAGTTGAATTATTTGATTAAATTGTCTAATTATTTGCAGTTGTGGGTTATGGGTTCTGATGCATTCACTATCTTTGAGAATTGAGGATGGAGAAAGCCAGTTTGCCTTCACCACTATATGTGATTTTATACACAACTTCTTTATTTGTGAGGAATGTCGTCAACATTTTTATGAGATGTGTAAAAGGTATCAACCAATCTCAAAAAATATATATTTGATTATGAATTTCTTTTTCTAACTACGAATAATTGTAATTTTCAGTGTTACAAGTCCTTTCAAAAAGACACGTGATTTGGCCCTTTGGTTGTGGACTGCACATAATAAAGTCAACGAGAGACTTATGAAGGAAGAAGCATCTCTAAAGACAGGCGACCCAAAATTTCCAAAGATTCTATGGCCTCCAAGACAGCTTTGTTCTTCGTGTTATCTCTCTGGCAGCCAAAAAAATGAAGGAAGCAATCAGGTTGATTGGAACCATGATGAAGTCTTCAAGTTTCTGACTGATTATTATGGGAAATTGCTTTTGTCTTTATACAAGGAAAAGGGCCTTCTTGGAAGTGACGGGACAGATGTGGCTCATGAAGATCTGGCGGTGGCAACAAATGCAGTTGTAGTGCCTGTTGGGGCTGCCTTGGCAATTGCTCTTGCAAGTTGTGCATTTGGGGCGCTGGCTTGTTACTGGCGGTCACAGCAAAAGAATCGGAAGTATTACCACCAACTACACTCTTTAAAGAACATATAATACTTAGGAGGTTATGATCTCTTTGGAAAAGTTAAAAATTGTGTAGCTGAAAGGAAAAATTTATATATAGAGAAGTGGAGAGGGAGAGATGTTTCTGATTGTTAGGATGTAACCTTATTTGTTTTGTTCTTCCCCAATATTTCAGGCCAAGAAGAAGCTGGAACTAAGTGTTTTAGAAAAGACAACTATACACAGCCATTAAGGTGTCAGTCAGTCCGACGAATCGGGGTCTGATTAAGAAACCAGATTACACCCTTGTACCAAATGGCCTGCTTGAGGTCCCCGCCATACTTTTGCTTTTATTGAGCTTTTTGTCCCTCGAACCTTTAATTTTGGACTGTACAGATTAATGTCAACATATTTGGAAGAAAATTTGTCATAGATCTGTGTCGTTTTGTATTTTGTTTTTTTATGTACTGCACAGATCTATTAAAGATATAAATGGAGGACTGCTTTTTGTCACTGCAGTAAATTGTTATCCATGTACCTAGGAGAATAAGAGTTGGAAAGAAGAGTAACTTAGTTAAATGTTAGGACTGCTGGATGATTCTTGATTTTGTTTCTGTTGCACATTATTGCAATGAGTTGTTGGCAAGGTTAAATATTATTATGACATTATCAGATGTATACATGAAGTTGAATTATTTTTAGAAAATATACATTTTATTCAATTAGTGCCTCCAAAAGACAGTTAGTGATGATTCTCTATTAAGTATGTCTCTTTGTCAGACAGTGATCCAGAAAACACTGCTCAGCTAAGTTTCGCTGGCTCATGGACCATTTCCACACACATATTTCTTGGTGCTGGCAGTTATAATCGGTGAAGTTATTGCATATTCTGTGTGTGTGTGTGTATAAATCTTTTTTCTGGGAAAAAAATAGAGCAGAGGATTATATATTTATATCTAAATTCTAACACTGTACAGAGTTATCTGATAATGTGCACTACTGTACAGAGTAATCTGATAATGTGCAGTAATGGGAATGCAATTCCCTCAACTGTACAACTACCATGGAACTTTTTGTCAGTTGAAGATTTTTTTTTTTTAATTGACAACTTCTGTCACGCCTATCCTGATCTTCGAAAGCTTTTTCCAGTCAATGGCTGAGAATGAAACTATGATCTTCACTTACACTATGATTGAACAATGGTGGCTCTGAATCTGATCAAAATCCATCACCATTCTTTTTATTGTCAGTTCATTTCCACGAAGCAACCCAAAAGCTCAATTTAGTGAACATGAATTACATGAGGCTCAGGCTGCACAATCGAATCTTCAGTTTCTTCATCTGATGACTCGGATAATGAATAGGCGGTGTCCTAATAACCAACCACATAAGCAAACAATCAAGCACATTTCTTTGCCAATTACAAAGACACCCAGAACTTGAATATTTAACAAATTATATCAACAGAAAACTTACCGGTGGATTCCGCCGTTTGGTTAATGTAGCTGCTAAGGCTTTTGCCACCACATAGATTGGTAAAACAATTCCAATGGTTCTTAGAATCAACAACTGCAGGAAGAAGATAAATCCTTTAACACTTTTCATCTGGGTCCAGGCCAAATCAAATGCACTAAGTGAGCTCATCTTACCATAACCAAAGGGAAGGAGTAATCATTGTTCCCACTGAGTATGAGAGGAAGGGTGTGTCTCAAAACCAGAAGAACCATGAACTGCAAAAGAAGAAACATGGTTATTATTTATTTATTATGGTATCAAAATTAGAAATTCAGAATCTAACTATTAACAATATTGTTATAATAATGATTCAAATGATCATAAACTAATTATTTCTTGCGAAAATCTAACTATCATAGTAATAAAATAATTCAAATGCATCTTAGATTAGAAAGTAGAGTAAGGGTGCTGAGAGATTTACAATCAAGACAACAGAACGACAACATAACAAGTTTCTTGGAGCTGAATCCGAATATCGTTCATAGTCAGAATCCAAGAAGTTTCTATCAGTTGACACCATTGTTATAAAGTGTTGACTATTTAAGTCACTTCTTGAAATTTCCCAATTTCCTCTAAAATATAAATAATAAGATCATATCAATATAATGAGATATTAAAAGAATTTAAAAGTAATAAAATCACAGTAAGTTATGCATAAACTTATATATAAAATAATCGTACACAAAAATGTACCTGAAGTTCAAGGGAACACGGTCAAACTGAAACAAAGGAGGTGGTGCAGTATACCCTGGCTTGAATTGCTGAAACTCACAATGTGTGGCATATTCATGGTTTAGTTCAACTAGAAAACTAAAACATATCCATATACATATAAATAATAAAATTTACCTGGTGACATATTTCACAGGTAGTATCACCTTTTTCATTGCACCACCTCTGAACACATCTACGATGAGCATACTGTAAATATAACGAGTCAAATATGAAGGTTCGTCAGTTTATCACACGCAAAGGTAAACCTAAATTAGGTATTGTCGTTTAAAAGTTCTATTCTTAAAAAACTTAATTCAGGAAAGGTGACCAACTTTTCTTGTAAGTAAAGAAAAAACAAAGAAGGCATTTGAATTTTCCATTAAAATTCTCAAAAAAATGATCAGAAAACCCCCCCAAGAAAAAGCTTCAAACAAAGTGTGCCAAATTGCAATAAATAAAAGCTCTGAGACAATTATTGGTAATTGCAGAGAGACCCAAATTAACAAACCTTTAAACTGCCACAACAAGAACAAGGAGTTTCCATGTTTGAATCTTCATCTTCATCCAGGCAAATCTTGCATTCTACCAATTTCCCAGGAGATGATACGTCTCTGAAACTCACCTTCCGGTGATCTTCCTTATTATCCGTAGCTGATGTTGTTGCTTGCATCATCCTGTTTCTGCTCTCAATTGCAGCCTCCAATGTCGATTCGGTTATGAGCCGATCCACCAGCAACACAAAATGATCCCCCATGTTCCAGTACGAAGCAAATCTAATAATGAAATTCTCACTTTATGAACAAGAAAACCTTCTTATTCTTCTTTAATTGTTACTGTAATAAACCTGAACCTGATTTCAAAAGCTTAAACAATCTGTTCAAGCACGGGAATTCTTTTCAAACTTATCTCAGATTTTGGTCGTATCAGAGCCTCTAATCACTCTGCATTAAAGAAGAGCTGAAACTGAGTGAATGAAGAAAAAGAGTAGAAGAAATTGATTAATAATAAGGGAAGGAACAAGTAAAGGGAGCATAAGAAGATATGAAAAATTCTGAAAGGGATTAAAGATTCTGCAACATCATGAATGATAAAAAAAAAAAAAGAACTTTACCCCCAAAAAGAAAATTTAAAGGCTTTTTAATGAAATTTCCTACCAAACATCTCGAAGAACCAGGGATGGAGGAAACCAAATTGAGAAAAACATCCAGAGCCAAGAACAGGCGTTGAAAACTATACCCAGATGGAAAAATACGAGGAGAAATGAAAGAAAATCGAAAGAAACCCAGATGCCAAAAGGAAAATTAAAAGAGAGAAACCTTTATGAAAAACAGAGCTTTGAAAGCTGAAAGTTAAAAGAATCGAAGATTATTAATAAGAGTGAGATAAAGAAAAAGGGAAGGAAGAAAAGGAAGAAAAGAGAGACTTACAAGAAGGGATTCGTATTCGTATTTTCCTTCAAGCCAAGAAATCTTTTTCCCTCTGAATATTTTTGAGGAAAGCTCTGGTTTTAGATTAAGCAAGAGGTTAATGGCGACCAAAATGGAAACTCTCAGTTTATAAGCCCAAAAAAGTATCTATATATAAAAAAATATGTACATATATATATAAAACATAAATAATCAAGAAGCTTACATATTTTTCATGTTTTGTAGCCACAAAAACAGGTTCTCTCTTAATTTTTCTTTCCGGGTACTTGGCCAAACCAAAACATGTCAGAGATATATATGCGTGTATATATATATATACACACATATATATGTATGAATGTGAAAAATATGTATAGGTTGTGTGAGGTTAAAAAGAAGAAAGCGCCCCCGGAGGTTAAGAGAAAGTAAGAAGAAAGATTCTAACGGTAAAACCCGCCACAATTCTTCTCGTGTTCACGCGTTGCCGTTAAAATCCTTTTGTTTCTATTTCTCTCTCTTAATTAAATTAATCAACTTTTTTTAATAAAAAAAAAAATCCTTTTTTTTCCCCATATTTTTAATTTTAAATTACATTAAGTCTCAATTATTTTTTTAAAAAAGTAATTATATATAAAATTTTTGAAATAATTTGTTTAGAAAAGGAAGCAACTAATTCTTAAATTGGAAGTCATATTTTTTAATTCCAAAAAAAAAAAAGAATAAAAATGGGTCTATTAAATTAAAACTTTATTGATCGAAACATTTTGCAATGAAAATTCAGGTAGTTTATTCGGTTACATGCACGTTATGTGTAAGCAAAGGGATAAGGTCACAAGTTCACACCCAAAGTACAAACAAATGGGTCGTGGTCATATTTTGTGGGTGACACTCAAAATCAAATTTGTAGTCTATAGTTGATTCATCTTCTTCAATAATATTTTATATAAAAAAATATAGTTTCTACGTATGTATAATTTATAATATAATTCGTCGAAATTAATATATTAATAATTTAAATTTTTTCAAATCGTAATACGTGTACCGAGCGATGAATTTTATATTTTTAACGAGGTTGGTTTTTTAGGGTACACTTATTTTGACATTTGATTCAATTTTGTACGGTTAATTATCTACTTTAAAAAAAATTTGGCTTCAACTTATAAAATTTGGTATTTTCTTGTAGGACAAGTAAATTATTTAGCTTGCAAATTTTTAGTTTAAACTAGTCGAAGACCTTTAGACAGTTTTGGAGTTTATTGAAATCGTAATATATTTAAATTTAATTTTATTTATTTTTTAAAATTATATAATAATTAAAATATATTAAAAATTAAAATTAAATTGGCACCTTTTTTATTTTTTAATAATTGTTAAAATATTCTCTAATCAATTTTTATATAAATACCATTCCTTCATTTTGTCACCAAAATAATTATTTTTTATAGTTTCTTTCATCCATCCGCACACGAAATTAATTATTTTCTTATTAATTAATTAGATGATAATTAATTACGTTTTTATTAATTAATAATTATAATTTAGAAGATTAGTTGTGCGTGGTTGAACCAACTAGTACTATCCCATATTAGGTCAGCATATTATATATATATATATATATATATTAGGATCAATGTTAAGTAGTTAATCATATTATGCACGAATATATACAGTGTATATATATATATGTGTATTAATATAAAGTTTCCGATTTTATTGAATCAATCAACTATTATATGTCACATTAAATTAATTAAACATTAACCTTACTCTATTCCGTATGATTTTGTGTAATAAAAAAGAATCAGTATGATCGTGACAGACCATGAGGGGCATTTTGGACATTCTCTAACTAACTTTTTTAACTCCCGGCAAAATCAACCAATAAAAAACCACCACGTAGGACCGTCCTTCCCGCCAGAACCCTTCCATCTAAAACCAACCTCCTTCCTCGCGCACATTTCTCTGCAACAAAAACAGACACACCAAGAACCAACACAAGGAAATAGCACAAAACCAGCTCCGACCTTCATCAATGGCGTCCAAGCATTTCTTCTACCACTACTTCAGCATTCTCTTTCTCCTTCCACTTTCCTCTTCCCTCCCCACTGAGTCCGTCCTCCATGCCGCTGAAATCCTCTCAAATAGCGGATTTCTTTCCATGGCTCTCTGAAACCTTAACCCCAACATCTCAATTTCTCACCATCTTCTCTCCCTCAGATTTCGCCTTCGCTAAATCTGGTCATCCCTCACTCTCCCTCCTCCAATTGGGGGGGGTGTCGGGGTCAAGGTGCTAATCTCCAGTGCAGAGCAGCGAGTTCCTCAAATCGGAATTCGCTTAGCGAAGCATCTAAGATTTTGAGAGCAAGAGGACACTCTATCATGGCTTCGTTTCTGGACTTGCAATTGGCGGGGCTTAAGGACAAAACTGCTTTCACAATCTTCGCTCTTGTTGACAAATTGATGATCGGGCTTGTCAGCAATTTCAGCGACTATGCATCGATCTTCTTCAGGACGGTGGTGCCTTGTAAAATTCCATGGAGTGAACTCGTGAATTTCCCTAATGGGTCTCTTTTAGAAACTTACACTAAGGATTTTAAGCTCAAGATCACGAGAACTGGAGATGAGATGATGATCAATGGACTTCAGGTTACTGCACCAGACATGTATTGCAGCAACTGGCTTGCTGTTCATGGCCTTGGCGAAGAGTCTTAGAAACAGATTGAGAATAATGATGAAGATTATAGCTGGAAACAATTTGCCTGTCAAGTGTCAACTCTCTGGTAAATCTCTGCAACCGAATTTGGCATTAAATTCGTCAATTTGATACTTTGATAAATACATGGTGTTTGAGATTTTTGTGATATTGTATATGGAGTGCTCTCTTTTGTTTTGGGTTTAATTGTTCGTATCGGAGTACTCCAACCCAGAGTGGGGAGAGTCGTTACAATGAATCTCTGAGATTCAAGTTGGAATCTCTTTATATAAAAATACAAGTCTCAATTGTTTGCAAAGACAAAAATTTTATCGGAAGAACAGCCTTGAAGTATCAATCTGAACAATTTCATTTTCATTTTTTCACTATACTAGTTTTTACAAAATACTAAGACATCAGCTACAGGCATCAATCAAAAGCTCGAGCTTCGCTCAACTTCGATTTCCTACAGTATAAGGTATATAAGGCATAGCAAACTTAGAACTATAAAAGCCTAAGGTAGTAAGTTGTTTTTTCTTTTTCGTATATGATCTATACTCCATTTGATGAATTGGACAATATGACATCCTTGTCCCTGTTACCTTTAGGACTGTGCTTGAGACCACAGCTGCGTTTTATGGACAAGGGTAGTTTCACAAACACTTCCTCCCTTTGGGGGCGGTTTGCATACAGTATCCATAGAAGCAGACACAGCAATACTCCAACAGATATCAGGCCTAATCCTGCATTAACTGTCTTCAAATAATGCTCCAGTGGCGGACAGTAATTTGATGTAATGTTTTGGAATGTGTCCCTCACAAAATTGCAATCCTGGAGGCTTAGTAAAGGCGGTGCATAATGCTCGAGAGCATAGCTCTCGTTCACTGCTGCTACCAACTGTGTATAGATATCCGGGGTTACCCTCCCTACAGTAGTGCAAAGACCATATGCTGACACCATACATGTGTAATTCTCCCAAACCTGAAATGAAAAAAATGAACTGGATCAGGTCTCATCCTGCACCAAATACAATTCAATTGAGAAAGAATCTGATGACATATCATGAATGAAGCTGTTTCAAGCAAAATGTGTAAGAAACATTACTAAGAAAGTGTCACTTAAGAATAGATGGACATACCAAAGATGCGTTTGCCATGGAAACTTCTTGAGGTCCACACTGGCGATCTTCTAGGTTTGGGCCAAATGGGTAACACAGAGGAGGCATTGGAGGTCCAGACTGATTGTAATAATGGGATTCTCCCGGGGATGGATTTGAGTTGGCATATGAATATATAAACGTATTTACAACATTTACGATATCATTGATGACTTCTTTACTCTTCATGAGAGTCTGATTTGTTGTTTTTTGGTCTACACATGGAAGAATGCTGCTAAGAGCAGTCTCTGCATGAGGATGATTCACCCATTCTCCCATGGCCATACAGGTGTCGGAAATTGCACTGAAATGTGTGGAGCAAAATATCAATCAACAATTTGATTATTTTGATTCTTAAACATGATATGCTGCATATGCTGGCGATGCTTCAAATGGAAGCGCTTTAAAGAGAGAGAAAAAAGAGAGATTTTATAAAAGTAGTCTATAGCCTTGGTCCTTAATTAATCAGCAAAATAAACCAAACATCAAAATCTGGGTTGGAAAAGAAAGAGACTGAAAATCACAGAAAATAGAGCATCTGAAGGGCCTAAATAAGGTGAACCAGACTACAAAACCAAGATAACCCTCTCTATACTTCGTGATTAGTCTTTTGAACATTGTGCGGACAAGGGTTTTAGATATTCTTGTTTTACATTTTTTCCAATTAAAAAAAAAAACAAGCAAATAATGGATAGAAACCTCGTATTTTACCTGTTAAGGATCACAAAAACTCCACAAAGAATGAATGTAATTGTCACTAGTAACCATCCACTCAATACAAATCTGCAATGATAAATCGATAGTGTCAGAAAGAAAGATCAAGTTGCAGTAACGCTGCTGGTTGAAATATAACAACTAAATCTGCAGAGGACTTACATATGAACTGCATGTTTGTAGCCAAAGATAGACAATACTGTAAATAATCATATAAACCAGAAATCAGAAAACAGACGAGAGTCAGGAAGAGGAGAAGCGTAATTGAAGATACCAGTGATGGAAAAATTTAACCATACTTACAAAGACCAAGAACAGACAAGAGAAGCATCACAGCAGCCACAGTGATCAACGCTGACCGCCTACAAACTCAAAAGTATTCGATAACATAAGGAATATATGTAAAAATCATAAACCAAAAATTAAAAATAAAAATAAAAAATTGGAACATACACACTGTTGAAGACTTTTCTTATTTTTTCAGAATTTTTATTTGTTTTCTCAGCAAGTGTATCTGCTGCATCATTCAGATCTATATTCAACTTGTCGATTTCAGTCATAACATCCGAAGGAATGAAAACCTGGGCAACATTGATACTTTTTGCAAGGGACAGATATTCGGTCACATTTCTCAGGATATCGACGGTGTAATCTGACTGGTTTACAACATATCTCAGGGTACCCAAAGCTTCACCATGAAATTCATTCTGCCCAACAGAAAGAAGCACACATCCAGTCCTGGTGATAAAATATGGAGTTAGAAAGAAGTTAGTAATCCAGCCATAAAGTCTTAAGTAACAGAAAGTGTGGTTTCCAGTGGAAATATGGCTTAAGACTTGATTAATTCACAAACAAGAAAGGCATTTATTCACCAAGAAAATTATGGAAAGAAGAGAAACTTGACTCTGCTATCAACATGCAAGTTTTGAGATGGGTCACTTAGGCTAGCCAAAAAGAGGAATTTTTGTATGTGTATATAAATAGAAACCAAGCTGGTAAATATCACAGGGAAATTCATCCCTTTTTTACCAGTTAGATAGAAATAAGCAAAAACTTGAAATGTAGTCATGCCATCCATGACAAGATCTTCAAAATTCAAATTTTACCAATGAGTAAAATTAAGCCTCAAAATTCTTTCAGAAAACTTCAAGCCACAAAACTACAGAAAAATGAATTTCTAATAAAACATAGCATCTGCTCAATACAATATTAACTGCAAACACAGTAAAAGTACAATCCAGATCATTAAAATTTTTTAAGAGAAGGGAAAGAATGATTGTAAATTAGTGAAGGAAAAGAATTAACAACACAGAAAATCAATTAAATCAATTAAATTGGGGAGCTTTTTGGAGTTTAGATTATTACGCTGCGATGCAAGTGAACACTATAAGTATTATGAGACAGATTCTTTGCGAATGGTTTGATCCTTTCCCTTTAATGTTGATTGTCCAACCACAGCAATGATGTACAACGAGAACCAAACCAAAAGAAACAAACCAAAAGATAGCCAGAATGAAAGCAGCTGCACCTGTAAATCCAACAGACTGCAGACAATGGTCAGTACAATAGCAAGGATGAAATGGCCAAGCACAAGATGCATAACATATACCACCTTGACATAAATATAAAAGAAAAATTAAGCAGCACCCAGATGTTATCATTGGAAATGATCAAATAATCAAAATTTATGATTTTTGTATCCAGATTGTTTATTATATCGAGAACTTTTACATCGATAGCCTTTTAAGTGAATCTTAAGTAAATAACTATACCTTGTATAAGAAATACAATGAGACAAAATCACTATTTGGTAAAAAGTTAAAACTCAGAGTGAGCACTATGGCAACTCAGCATAAGATTAATGCATAAACTGGTTTGTGCCAGTAACACATGGTAGATCAACAGAACACAAACTGGATATACAAGTTAATACCTTAACATGACTTGGTTAAACCAATTTGTTTCTCAGAGTTACTTTCTTTAAGATCACATTCAAAGAAAAACATATAATCTCGTATCCAATTGATGAACAAATATGTCTTGAAAGTTATAAGCATCTCTTAATAATAAGCTTTCAAATGATCAATTAAGCAAACTATCAGAATGTTAAAGACACAACAGAAAGGACTTACAGCCCAGTAATGGCGGTTAGTAATATTCCAGCCACCATGGTAATGCGTGAAACCTGGAGAATGTCGGGCTTTAGTCCGGTTTGCCGCCAACACTAGCGTGCCTTCCCCATTATTTGAAGGTCCCGGTGCTAGTTCTGCAACTGAGATGCCATCTTTCCACGATCCAAAATTCTGCTTTCCTGAATTTATATTAAAAAAAATGAAACAATAACGACACTAAATCTTCAATGCCAGCTCTTGAAACGTGAATCCAGACCAATTTGCAAAATAAAAAATAAGAATTGACTGCTAAGAAATGTTAATGTCGGTGCAAAAATGGAAGTGAAAACGAAATACTAGAAACCCACTGGGCTAAATAATTGCTCTCGCAAGAAAACCAGGAAAAACATCAAGCACCAGATTGATAAGTCCATTTTCTATCCTAGAACCCAGAAAGAAATTACTCATGATCACGAAATCCAAAAATTACAACAAAAAACCATAAAACCATAAACCCAGATGAGGGAAAATAAACCAGCATCAACAGCAAATTGATTCATTGGACATCAAACGCCAAAATCAAATTCTGAAGTCTAAACAATCAAGGACCAACCTAGGATCATGGAGAGAGGATCTTTGGTAGGCCCATCTTGAGTCACTGCCACAACCGAGTTAAAAGAACCAAAAAGAGGTAAACACAAGAAAATGGACTCCACAAAGAAGAGCACGATCTTCATTGGCGGCTCTCTCTGTGTCTCCGATATCTCACACTGCCGACACTGTAAATGAAGCTTCAGTCCATTTCCAAGATTCGGATTGTCACTCCCCAAAAAACCAACATCTGCGGAGCCGAAAACTGAATCGAATCAATAAAATACAAGAATGAGACAGAGAAGGTATGGCACTATCCCTCGTTTTACATATAAAATCAATATGGGTCACATGAGAGGAATGAAAAAAATAATAATAATGGAGATTTATCTAGCTCCTCCAACACTGGGAAAGAAGGAGAGGAAGAGAGAGAGAGAAAGAGAGGCGGTGAGTCACATGGGTAAAGAAGACTAAAAAGGCGGGTATGTTTATAGTATAAACGCCTCTACCCTCGCTACTTAAAACTGCGGAATTAAGCCAAAGCATGGTCATTATAAATTATAAATTATCAAAAAATGCACTTCCCTCCGCCATTAAAGATATCTCATTTATTTACTCACCGAATAAAAAAGAAAACTCCTTTATTTGTTTTTGTCCTCTTCTTCTTTTTCCTTTTTCCTCTGTTTCTTTTCATTCCACTGACTCAGCACTCACTTTTTCTCGCATTAAATTTACAGACAAGTCCACGCCCATCATCAAAACAGACCAAATTACCCATTTTTTGTGGCTTTTCCAAAGAGAAATATCTAAACATTTTCTAACCCAAGAATGAAACGTGACGAGTCGGGAACCGAGTTAGCTGAGTTATCGGGCTTGAGTCGGGTTCACCGGACCAGTGGGAACAGAAGAAAACATTAAGAGGGTTTTACGGGAAAGAATCCCCGTTTAATTGGCGTAAGGTAAACTCGCTTTATTATTATAAATAAATTATTTACAAAAGTTAATAATTAAAGTACTAGAAAAAAATTATGTCCGTCGAGATGGATTGGATTAGATCGTGATGGGATCGGACGGTCCCAATTGAGTGCGGTCACTAGTTGAAACTTGACTAGCAGGTATGAGCATCATCACATGGTAAAAGTCTAAAAAAGACTGTGTAATAAGATGGCAGGCAGCATGAAAATTGCAGGTGATAGCAGCCATGTGATCGGGGGCCCACCGGACCCGATATTCTAATTTCGCGGCAGATTTATGTGGGGTCTACGGCATTACCAAACATGAAAAGTAGCAAATCCGGTGTCTCTCTGGGTTCATCTTTTAGATCGGACGGCTGAGAAATGAGAATGAGGGAAATCGAGACGTACGTTATTGTTTTGTATACGCCATAACGTGGCTTCCCTGCTTCATAAATAGAGTAGTTTAAAGTCTACATTATATCACGATCTTTGAATAACGTATGAACTATATATCTATATATATATATATATATAGATGCTACTTACAATATGTATTAATTGCTATGATATATATGTATATCTATACTGCAAATGACATATAATACCTAAACTTTTTGGTAACCATGTAAATTAGTTGAAGGCTAGCAAAGTTTGATCTGATACGAAATCATGTCATCACGCATGGTCAACCGCTTTAGCTCATATGATTTGCATGCTGGTATATATATATATATATATATATATATATTGGAGCAATAATTAACATCATTGGTAGCAGATTGTACTCGAAAATAAATCTTACTTTGGAATTCAATACAGTATTGAATTTTTTATTCCAGAAAAAGAAAAAGGAAAACAGAGCAATTATTTTGTTTTCCCTTTTCGAGCCAAACATTTCTAGCTGTTTCTGGTCCATCCTAAACACATGCATTATATGTGTGTGTATATATATATATGCATATATATATATATATTAATCTCTAATACTGAAGGCCCATATAAGTAAATATTGCATTAATTGAAAGTCATGGCCCAGCCCAATTGGGATGGTGACCCAACAAGAGGAGGTGATTAATCTTTTTAGAAGGAAATATGACTGGTGCAATGTATCAAACCAAGAAGATAAAACTGTTCGGCCATGAATGTAGGGCGACAGCTATTCACTGAATGTATCAGATTCAGAGCAGAGCAGTAATGGCGGATTTTTCAATTAGAATGATCTCTTATGTATATATGTGTGTGTGTGTGTGTGTAATAAGAAAAAATAAAGAGGAAATTTTTCTATTTTCTTGAAAACATGCTTAGAAAAATCATACATGTCACCCAAGAACTAAAAAACACAAACCAATATCAAACAAGAACAAGATCACACGTGCAATGTCCCACGAGGAAACAACATATCTACGAGTCTAATGATCAGAACAAATCAACATGAAAGAACACATTGAGCTATGCACCAAAATGTCCCTCTTCGCCACACAAATATTAAGCCATCAAAGCCCACCTGGCTTTTTTATAACATTCCTCCATTTGTACTTCAAGAAGAGCCTAGTATGAGCATCGAATTGCAAGCTTACTTAGGAAGACAGATGATCATCGAAAGCTTTCGGATAATTTTGATGTATTGCGCTGCTGCCAGAAGCAACATACTTTATTGAAGAGCAAGTCTAGATAACACTACAAACCAGCAGCCTACCTCAACACAGCAATTCTGAGAAGGTAGTTGATTAATGGGTAAAATAACAGAGACGAGATTCATAACAATAAGAAGTTTGCAGCAAACTAGGTTTCCGAATTCAAGATTATAAGAGGAAGGAAAACCCACTTCTCCATATCAGTCCATACAACTTAATCGTCACTGAAGTTTAAACACCTTCCATGAAAAATACACAGTCCATTTCTCTTCTCCAGAAGATGCTACTATGGTGCTTCAAGGTCAATCATGTCTACAAAGGTAAATTCTCAATAACTCATGATAATTGAGTAACTTTATGCTAGTAATACTGTATTATAAGCAGAGAAATACAGTGTTAATACTACAAATTTACCATGATAACTGGCATAAAAATTTGGTAGATCATGCCCTTTGCAAGTTGGGAATATGTATAATAAATGCATACTGAAAAAGGGCTGAAAGTGTACGAGATAAGTGCATAATTAGATCCATGCAATGTCTACAATTCTACAATCAAAGGAGAAAAAACAGATTTATGAGGACAAAATAATTGACCTTCCGCAGTTCTCAGCCAATTTACACATAAACCGGATACATGTGGAGAGACAGACACTGGAAGCAAAACTAATATTCACAGATCCCAATAGCTTGAGAATCATACTTGAAACTACAAACCTATGATCATTTCATATCTATGCTTACAGAATGATGGATGCCAATATGATAAGTGTATTGAAATGAACAGGACTTAAAGAGTTCCATCAAACCTCTTACCAAGTCCATCTCAATGCATAAATAAATTAGCAAATCAGGAACATAAAACAAATTGTGAAAAGATTTAGTATTGAATTATTGAATACAAGGACAGCTGACATAGTCATCGTAGCAAGCAGCTGTTTACATAAACCTCTAAAGGTCACTAATTTTAAATGCTTTTCTTCACTTAACTACCTCAAGAAATAACAAAACTGTCTGTGAGGAAGACTCTTCCCCACATAATCACATCAACTGATGTCGTCGGAATCCAAAAAAATAACGCCCTTTTTCTGTTAAATAATCAAAATTCCTCACCAGTTTGACTTGGAATTTCAGAAGCCCATAAAATAAAACATAAGCCCCAAGGTAAAAACTTGTTAGAAACCCATCTTAAATCTCGATCAAGTAAAACTACTCCAGCTTCTCCTCCATCTGGTATTCTCCAAAGATGTTATTTGTTCTTGATCTTAATACCTAGCTCACCTGCAATAATCACTGTAGTAGCCATGTCAATAAACATACCGTGCTCCACAACGCTGGGAAGCCGCAAGATTGCATCACTTGCAGCCTTGAGATCACCAAAGTCCTTTTTGAAATACAAGTCTACTATATAATTCCCATTATCAGTAACAAACGGGTCTCCCTTGTCTGCGCCGCCGCAGCCAGTGGCTCTTCTCAGCTTAGCCACACAACCAGAGTCTTCGAACAGCTTTTGCAGCCTCTGTGCAGTAAATTTCCAACAAAATGGCACAATCTCCACGGGCATAGCCAGCCCACTGCCGCCTATATGCTTAACCAATTTCGATTCATCAACAATAACAATGAATTTCTTGCATGCTCCTTCTATCATTTTTTCTCTAAGCAACGACCCACCTCGGCCTTTGACGAGATTGAGGTGAGGGTCGACTTCATCGGCGCCGTCGATGGCTAAATCGACGACGGGATGCGATTCAAGATCCGAGAGAGGGATATCCAAGGACAAAGCTTGCTCATGCGTCTTCTTAGAAGTCGGAATTCCGATAATGTTTTTGAGCTTGCCTTGGTGCAGCAGCTCCCCAATACGGTCAACGGCGTGTTTGGCTGTGGAGCCGGTACCGAGAGCGATAACCATCCCCGATTCAACGAACTCAACGGCTTTGTAAGCGGCAATCTTTTTAAGTTCGTCTTGGGTGAGAATCACGGGAGGTGACATGGGCGGAGACAGAGAAGGCAAGCCCGCCTCCATGGCTGGATTATCTGAGCCAATGAAATGGGGATAAGCAACAGCCATTCTTCCCCCTTTTTGTGTGGACGCGAAAGGGATAAGAAAAAAGAATGAACAAAAATCAAGAAAGGAAACAAAAAAAAAAAAAAAAAAGAAACTGGGTTCTCTAGGATTTGAATAGGATGTTTCAAATTTGGACTATTCTGAGGAGAAGCAAACAAGGCTTAATAACACAACACAGACATTCACGAGGACGAAGACGAAGAAAGATTGTAGGCTAGAAAAAGGGAAGAGAACCCAGGATTTAAGAAGGGTTAAAACTCAAAAGCGAGTTCTATACCGATGAAAAGAGAGAGATCACCGATACGGGATTGTATGGTGGTGAATGGCGAAGGGCGGAGATAAATGGCGATAGGGTTTTGCGTAGAGACACACAAGAGGCGGGGCGGGGATTCGTCTGGTTCTCGGAAAAGTGAGAGCGTGGGATTTCCTGCCAAATCTATTCGGTATATATAAACCAAACAAAGGCGGAGAAAAATTAAAAATTAAAAATTAAAAAAAAAAAAAGGGAAAGTTCGATTTAATTTCGAAATTAAAAAATCACACGGAAGGAAATTGGCGCATTTAAGGCGACTGGGAAGAAGTTATTCCTCGAAGGAATAGAATGCTATCCTCTTGGGGAATAGGGCCTTTAATGGGTTTTTGACAGCTTGAGGATTTTTAGTAGCCGTGCAATTTATAAATTTCTTATTCTATTACCTAATTTTTTAAAAAAAAATTTGCATTTTATTTTCTAATTTTTCAAAATATAAATTGAAATATCCAAATGAAATTGATTAATTTAATCCGGTTTGATTTTCTTTAAGTATAACAGATTAATTCGATTTGGTTTTTAGATAAAATTAAATTAATTAAATAAAGCTATTGAAATTAAAATGTTATAAGTTGGGAAATTCTCAAATTTACTTTTCTTTTTTTTTTTACCTATCCTTTTTTAGTGAAATAATTAATAATAATGAGAAGTAATAAATTATTTTTTATTTTATTATTATTAATTTACATGTATCGTTTAACTAATAATTTTATAGTATAAATATATACAAATCGTCTCCGGTCAAAAAAATTCTTTAATATGAAATATTTTATGAATATTTGTATATGCTTAACGTATTAAAAAATAGAAATAAGACGACCCCGCAAATGAAATGAATCAACGGTAGTCGTTTGTTTTACGATAGATTGGTAATGGCAAACAAGACATGGCCCTCGATTTTGATTACGGATCTCCGCATATTCTTCGGGGCTCCGCGGTTCCGTTTCATCATTTTTTTTTTCTTTTACCAAAAATTTAATTTATTTAATCGGGGAATTGGGGGCATGTGACTTGCCTTTTTGTATTGATTGGGACAAACAAAGTGAGAGGTCGACATACAAAGATCTCCCCCACCCTTTAATCTTCTCAAAGAAAAGAAAAGTTTAGTTTAATTGGTGGCATCGTCTTCTTCTTGGGAAAGTCAATTTGTTCGGTTCCTTCAATAGAATAATTTATATGGCTTTTGATTTTATCGTCTCATACACATTATCCCTTTTATATGTACATATTAAATCATATGTAATCTTCGGGGTTAAAATG